CGCATACTTAAAACAAGACCAGATATTGGGTGATCACAGCTTTCATTCATGTCTTGAGTTGGTAAAGCAAAGGAGGTGCAACAAATACCTTGAATAAAAACCAAATAGTAATCATCATGTTGCAAAGCTAAGGATTATTCCAAAATGCCTCCAACATAGCTCTGACTGATAGCTATTCCAGCAGTGATCTCATATCCCAAATATACCAAGACACCGGACACATTACAAAGGAGAGTCGCCATTTTATGTATCCTAAATAGAAATGAAAGGGAGAATTTTATAAGAGGAACGATGGCAGCTTATGACACATATCTGGCCCTTTCTGCCAAAAAAAGGGGGTTACATTCAGCCACTTGCGATACCAGGATAGTTGTTAAGTGGCAAGATGTGGATCTAGGGACACTCAACACATTTTGGAGGATATGTAGGCAGAAAACTTAAATCTGTGGAAGCCAATATACAATGAGTTAAAACATTACAAGCAGTCACAGATGAAGCGGACAGATTTGATGCACTCATAACAACCATATAAGGTCCAGCATTTATTCAATGGGAGGCAAATCGTAGCTTGTTAAAGTTAACGTGTTGGATGTGGAAGAAATGTACGAGTGTAAAGATTGTTTTTGTTTTTGTACTTTGGTTATTGGTTTTGAACGTGAGCTTTATAAAGTATTGCAAACACTGTACATTTCACGACTGTCAGGTTGGTGGAAACCAGGCTGCACATATGAATAAATTTGATGATCGTAAAGACAAAGTAATAGCAGAAAGTGTATGGACGGGAGGGCATGTGGCTGCAAAACTCAATAAGTCCAATCACAGAAGAGGACTGGATTTTTATTGAGTGTTTACATTACATAATGTAATTCTATGTTCTTGCACTGTACACACAGACACTGATTATAATGCTCCACACGGGCTTTTTGAGCACTCCTACTCAATTTCAGACAGAGGAAGCATTACGCTCTGCAGTCTCCCAGCCCCGTGTTGCTTCACTCTGAGTTTATTTTTACCTCCCTCATAGCCGAGCTTTATTTGACAGTTTGAAAACTTTCTGTGAAAGCTAAAAAAATTACATCAGACAAGGTTGACTGTGGGCCACTGCAAGCAAATATATTCATGAAATGGGAGGCCGGCTCCCTCACAGATGTTTATTATTCTGCTTTACATTAAAAGCAACCTGGACCTTTGTGCAGAAGGCTTCTCTTTGGTAGAGACTGCTTTGGAATTGTAATCTTTAGAATGTGCCGTGGCCTGGTGGGAGATCCCAGTTTGTGGCTTTGTAAAGAGCCCTGGAGGCAGAGGAAGCGATATGTGGGCTCTTTTGTAGCACAGATAGCATACATTACCTGATTAATTAATCAACAAATGGCTCTAGTAAGGCATAAAACTCCATGCTAGGGCTGGGAATGCTAATAATAATGAGCCTGCTATCTATCACCAGGGCAGGTGACAGCTTCTCTCGCTTCACTTCAAGGACTTTCATTAACGCGAAATTCCCCCTCTTTTCCTCTTGCAATTTTTTTTCCCCCCACCCATCCCCTAAAAACATAAAATAACCTTAAGGGGGGACAAACTTGTGCCCACAATTTTGTTTTTCTTCTTCTGGATCAACATCAAGACAGTGTGGGATTTGTTGTAGTGTAACATGCTGGCGGATTAAACTGAGCAGGACCCTGGGCATCAGCAGCAGCAGCTTCCATATGAAAGACTATTCCCCCATCGCTGGTGGCCTGAGAAGGAGGGCCCAGATCAAAGCAGAGGCGGAGGAAAGAGAAAATACTACCAGAGCTATTAGAAGGCTATTGGGACACTTGCTGGTTCGCTGGCAACACGACTCTGCCCTTCACTTGAACAGCCTGAGTCCTGCCAGAGGGACTCGTGGTGGAACACAGGATTAGCCACCAAAACTTCACTGGTGCACAAACACCAATATTATATTTTACAACTCACTGTTTTCTCAACGGAGAGATACGTAGATCCCTCGTACCAGTGTTTGTGTACAAGAACTGCGAAATGTATTGACTTTCTTATCTGTCTGTGGAAGATAAGTGTCTCATTTGAGAAATGAAGGGAATCCGATAAAAAGCAGTAATGATTTGGAGTTAATCAGTGTCAGGTGGGAAGAAGAAACTCAGCCGTTTCTGTAAAACTCTCGAGTCAGTATTGGCACCTTGGCATTAATCGGGGCTGGCATCAGAATAGTTGTATTGAGAGTGAGGCTGATGAGGCTTGATAATAAGATATTGATTGGCAGCTGCAACCCATGGGCTGAATGACAATGGAGTAACTACAGTATACACGGCAGCTGGGGAAACAGAACTTATTTTGGCCCAAAGGTCTGACCAGTTCCTTCATTGTGTAGCTGCACTGAGTTCTCATTGTGCAGAACTGAAACAACTTTTGAATGGTCTTGACATTGGGAACAGTAAAGTAAAAGATTATCCCTAATTAAACCTTAATTTTCTGGAAAGAATTGTGACTATTCTGTTAAATTCCTGTTTGAAATGATTTGAGAGATGGCCACTATTTGTCGGAGCCACACATCTCCATTCAAGCCAGGTAAACAATGGTATGCCATTTACATCCTGATAAAGGCCCGATCCTATTTTTCTGCTTCAGTCCACTAGACCGAAGCCCTGTTTAATGATCCGATCCTAAGCATCTACCACAGTGTGTCAAACAGCAGGTAAGAGTGATGAATACACAAATACAGAGGAAGAGAAAGAACGACGGTGAGACGAGATCGCAAACCGTTCGGGGTAGAGGAGAGGCATTAAGTCAAGATTACAGCAGCGCTAATGCAAAAGCAGCTGAGTGAAATGCAGATTGGATGAGTGGTATAGTGACCCACAAACAGAATCTAGACAGATTTATGACATTAAGGTTTCTTGAGCTGCTTGTAATAGTCATTACTGTTTGCCCTGATAATGACAGACTGGCTATCATAACTCATTTGGATGGTCGGTAATCTATAATATGCTTTATAAATGTTTTGATGGCAACTGATGTGATGAGACACTGACAGTAACGTCGAAACGTTAAAGCTAAGCGTCCCGACTTTGATCTCGTAAAATTTTCATATATACATTCGCACCTTAGGAATTTTTTCTGATAAGCAAGCTTTACTTTATGTCTGCTTTTTGCTATAAAAGAAATCAGTAAATAGGTGCTCCGTTCAATATGATACATCATCATACATCACAGAAAGCAGAAGGGTTTATACGACGAGCAGTGGATGCCTCATACATCATCCTCATCGATTTACAGGGTAATAATACTTCAAGGCTGCAACACAACAGAAGAGTGAAAAGTCAAAGACAGAATT